CTTCTTCCTCTCTTTCAGTCTCTTCCTGATCCTGTTCTTCAAGTTCCTCTTCCTTTGTGCTGTTCTTCATCACCATAGCTTCACCACTTTCCTCTCCATCTTCAAATTCCTCATAATTTTGCTCATTGTCCTTTTCTACTTCTCCCTCTTTTCTATTTTCTTTCTCATCTCCCACATCTTCATTATCCTTTTCCTTCTCTATTTTGTCCTTAATTTGGTCATTCTTGATGTTAGGTTTTTTTCCCTTTTCTGGCTTATATATCTCTCTTTCCTCTAACTCTTGCAGTTTATTATCTGAGTCATCTTTCTTTTGTCTTATCTGAAAGTTATCCTCTTCCTCCAGATTCTGCTCATTTTCTGTTTCAGGTTGTAATTCATCATTTTCGCTTTCTCCTTCATCGCATTTGATGTCTATCATAACATCCACCATGCATTCACCTGCTTCATTTTCAACTTCCTGTTCTTCAGATTTTTCTTCGCTGTCACTGTCTTTTTCTTGTGCGCCATCTTCTCTTTCAGTCTCTTCCACACTTACTTCATCTTCTTCATTACCTTGGTCATTTTCTGGATTTTCTTCCGGGGTATCCTTCTCTGATGTATCATCCATATTTTTCTTTTCATTTTGCATATTGTTAACATTTAAATTTCTCTTTTCTTTATAATCAGCTTGATTGCTTTTCCATTTATTATTTCTGTCTTCTATACGTGTTTCAGTAGTTGTCACATTTTCAAAATTAAATTGGTTTGTCTTCTTTATCATTTCCTGACTTAAGAAAGATGGCATTCTTACTACTAATTGTTCTGTAATTCTTTCTTTGTGATTATATTCTTTTTGTTTTTCACTATTGTTATTACCTTGCATAATATATTGATCAGGTTTAGCTTCTACTTTATTATTCTGATGATCTTCATGTTGTTTTTCCAGCTGATCGTTACTAGAATGGCTGCACAGCACTTCTTGCTGAGTTGGCCCAGAATTTATTTTGTCAATATTTTTCTTTTTTGTTACTTTAAATGCTTCTTTTACAGTTTGTTGAGTATCATAGTTTAATGCAATAATAGAAAGCTCTTCAGATTTATTTCCTGAACACTTTTTAAAAGGCTTAACTTTCTGCACAAAAGCATTGTAGCTATTTTTTTTAGTACAGGAATCTTTTTCAAAACTTTTTGAAGCCAAAGACTCCAAATGAGAAGATGATTTGCCAGACTCTAAGCTGTCCTGAAACTGGGTACAACCAGATTTTTTCAACCCACCCTTACCATAAATTTTCAGTTTCATATTGTTACTTTTCTTCTAATCCATGTGAGAAGCAAGGAAAAAAGAAAAAAAGAAGAGAATTAAGAACAAAGTAAGGGCAAATAAAAAGCCACCAGAAGATGAAAATTGCAGACAATAAAAGAATGAAGAACAGACTTAAATATAGCAAAAGCAAAAAATTAAAAAAGTAACACTAACATCTAAAAAAGCATGAACCACTTTAGACACCCTTACACTCTTTACTCTGCTTCAGGTTCCTATGCTTTATACAATAGGCTTTTGCATGTTAACAGAATCAACATAACAGGGTAAATCAAGTTATAGAAATTATAATGGAATGAAGCATTTGACCTGTCCTGGAGGCAAGATAAGTGCTTTTTTGCAAACAGAAATATATTTTCACCAAATACCTTTAGTTTTATCATTATAATCCTCATGTCATATTACAGATGGTCCTCAATTAATAACCAAAATTGGGACTGGAAGCTCAGCTGTTGAGCAAAATGGTTGTTAAACAAGTCACCCATCTGACTGCTTCATGAATGACTGCAAACTGGCACACTCGAACTTCTGAGTCATTAAATGGAGTTAAAAGAGTTGCCTGCTAAGCTCAGCTCTCATCTGTGCACAGAAGGAAATTGCTCTGGTGGGCTGCCAGCTGGGATGTCCAGGACATGAGTTCCATTTCTCACCCCTGCTAGAGTTCGTCTCCCCTCCATGGATGGAAGAGAATTGTTTTGGTAGGCAGTCCACCAGATCTCTTCCATGCACAGAGGAGAAACAAACTCCTGCAGGGTGGAGAAACCATTCAGATACTGAAGATCCTAGCTCTCTCCCTACAGCCCACTGGAGAAGTTTATCTCCCTTCTTATGTGAAGAACTCCGTTGAAGGGCTGTCAAAATGGAGCTCAGGTCTTTAGGATTTGACTTCTGTTTCTGCAACCTACCAGTGGAATTCTTCTCCCCTTGGTAGTAGCCCTTTTGCCTTCAGAACTGCTTGCCAGCATGGAGCCTCATTTTCCATAGCAGGTAGCAGCAGCTTGCAACCTTTCCTGTCTGCAGGATGTGTGTTTGTGTGGGTATATATATGATATTTTATGATAGCCAGAAGTACTTTATGGGCTGTAAAGCACTTTTTAATCATAATCTGTAACAGCTGTTAAAACAAACAGGAGAACTACTTGTAAGTATGTTCCACACTTCTTTAAATTGTTTTCATTAATCTACAAAATAGTTGTAAAATTCAGGATTATAAAACATTCCAATCTGCTTGCTTATTCTTCAGATTACATTTACATTAACATGATACAATTGCCAATTCTGATTTTCAGTTTTAAAATATACTTGTCTTATTTGTCAGCTGCACTGCTCTAGCATGCATATATACAGTTTCTGCACAAAAGAACTTTATTTTATTGCATGTAAAGAATGCAAATATTTTACTGAATGTAAAGCATGTAAATATTATTATTCAGCAAGGTGGCTTCCAATAGTGGGAGAATTCCATGTTTGTAAGTTAATCAATTAGATTATGACACTGATCTAGGATTTAGGAGTTAAGATACATAAAAAAGTTATTAGTGTGTATACTCTTCTCCCCATTCTCTGCCCTATACAAAGGTACTTTCCATTATGAAACTAAGTAAAACAATACTTTTGAGAACAAGGCAGTTTAAAGTTTTAACAGTACTAACTGGAGACATAGCATGTAAACCCTTTCATTGACGTATCAGGGTTCTCTGACTTGAGGTTTTTTTCCGTAAATGCATGCAAATCGCATTCTATCTCTTCTAGCAACTGACTTGTGTTAACCTCTTGGTTGAGGGTAAGCAAGAAAGTAATTTTCAGCTGATAAAACAATGCAAAGAAATATCGCAATATTTGTTTTCTCACATTATTGCCAAGTTATATAATCTTAAATTATTATTGTAATTTCTGGTAAGCAGGAAAAAATTAAAAAATATACTATTATGTCCTATAATATACATTTTCCAAAACAGAACTGTTTTTAACATTTCAACTGATTAGGCAGGTGGTTCAAACTGCTTTTTGAAAATAAAGATTTACATAATCTGAAGGTTTTAATGCAGAAAAAATATTCTGAGGCCACTCAAAATTGTGCATACAATATATACTCGAGTATAAGCCAAATTTTTCAGCACATTTTTTTGTGCTGAAAAAAAACTCCTCGGCTTATACTCAAGTGAGATTCCCTCTGAAAAAAAAAATGGTGTGGAGCTCCGGAGCTGGGCAGCCTCTTCCCTGCTTCCGTGTTTCCTTTGCAACTTGTAAGCATGGGGGTAATCGGAAGCAGAAAAGTTTTTGCATGAGGATGTATTGTTTTTTCTTTATTTAACTGTTTTTAGGGGGGGGGAAATCCCACCGTCATGTGAGAATGCTCAGACATGAAATCTATCCGCCTGAAAATAAGTGTGTGTGGGGGGGATCGCAGAAAACAACGCGAGCCGCTGCCACCACCTCCTCCTCCCCCTCCTCCTCCCAAGCGGACTGAAAGCAGCTAGGGCTGAGGAAACGAAGCCACCTTGGCTTGTGTTGTTTTCTGAGCTTAGAGCCAGGGCGCTTTCATTGCACGGCGGAGCTTCTTGTTTCAGGAAACACCGGGCGTCGTTGCTGCCCCCTGAGGGGAGGGCGATTCTGGGCTGCGCGATTGGGGGACTTCGTGGCTTTGGGTGGGTGGGTGGGAGCGAGGACGGACGAAGTCCGTGAAGTGGGGCTTGCCTGCCCTTGCTGGCTGCCTCTGCTTCCTTAGGGGCGGGGAAGGGGGCTCATCTGGACCAAGGGTGAGTCTCCCCCTCAGTTTCCCCTGAAGGATCTTCCGTCGCTTTTGCCTTCTCCCTATGTCTTCCCTCTGTTAAAATCCCCCCCCCACACACACACACTCATTTTCAGGCGGATAGATTTCGTGTCTGAGCATTCTCACATGACGGTGGGTCTTTCCCCCCCCCCTAAAAACAGTTAAATAAAGAAAAAACAATATATCCTCATGCAAGAACTTTTCTGCTTCCGATTACCCCCATGCTTACAAGTTGCAAAGGAAACACGGAAGCAGGGAAGCGGCTGCCCAGATCCGGAGCTCCACATCATTTTTTTTTTTTTTCAGAGGGAATCTCACTTGAGTATAAGCCGAGGGGGTTTTTTTCAGCACAAAAAATGTGCTGAAAAACTTGGCTTATACTCGAGTCAATAAGTTTTCCCAGTTTTTTGAGGCAAATTAGGTGCCTCGGCTTATATTCGGGTGGACTTATACTCGAGTATATACGGTAATTTGTTTTGTATAACTATTATTCATTTCAAACCTGTGTAATCAAGGAACAGAACTTTGGGGTTGGTAGGATCCCTCTGCTGAAATCCTATCTCCTGTAAATCCATCATATGGATAAAAATATTGCTTACACATACAGGGAGGAAAAAGATGGTCATTTAAAGCCTTTTTTGCACACAGGGAATAATGAATTAGTTCTCTTATTTGTCAAAGAAGATGGGAAACCATCACTCTCTACCTTTCTCCTGAACACTTGATAAAAGATGGGAAAGATGGAGAAAGGCAAGATGGAGAGAGAGATCATGGGAAAGATGGATTGCACCTGAAATGTCATGGGCAAGTTGTTAAAACTTTTGAGAGTGCATTCAACCTGCAGGCCAGTAGTTCCCCAGGTTTCATTACTGGTAAAAAAAGCATGAAAAGTAAACAACATGAATTATATAAACAATTCAACAATACCTTTTGTTTTTGAACTGGTACTAATTCTACCAATTGGTCATTTGGATTTAGTCTCATCACATGGGTCTGAAAAACATTTTTAACATGGGTCTGAATTTTTTTTTTATCTCAGTAGTAATAAAAACAAGCAATTAATGTTTTCAGACACAAAAACTGCTTTTTTACTGGAACATCTGAGATCAGTTTCTGAACAATCAGAAAATAAATAGAATTAGAGAAATGCAGGTAAAAGTTCCACTAAATGCTAGACTATTTTTGTTTTAGTTCAGTCCCGGTTATTTTAACTGATTGTTTACCTCCACAAAATATAATTTTTCTAAGAGTGATTGGAAACCAGGATAATTTTTTTTATTTATTGTAACCTCACATATCTACAATTCCCCTACCCCTGCATATAAATTTAATAAATTATTATTAAAACTGGAAAATATGAGTAGTCTATGCCTCTCAAACAAGGCCTAATTTTTCTGTAGCTTTGAAAGGTATATCACTCATCGCTTTCCTAGTTCTAAATATTAAATGTACTTAGTTCCTGAAATACATTTTTAACAAAATCTTATCTAAAAAATTCTGAATTTTAAGTAGTAAATTTTCACATCTCTTTTTAAAAATATTTTTCTGGTATAAAATAAACATTGCTATCAATCTAGGTCAGATACCAGCTATATTTTTAGTTCAGATGTGCATATCTTGAATTTTGTAACTATAATTATCAGGCACAATCAGTTACAAAATCTTTTGAATTTTGTGGTAAACCTGTTACCTGCCTGAACGTCTACAGAAATCCCATTTCTGATTATTTTTCCACTCCAGCTTTATACTTTTTTCCTGGAAAAGTAGGCACACCTAATGAAGCATTACAATGCCTTCTATTTTCAATTTGTAAGAATATCTATTGGTGTCAACATGTGCCAGATCCTAATTTTTTATTTATTTAAAAAAATTAAATTAATTTTAAATTTAATTTTAAATTACTTTGGTCACGTTTTGTGTTATTCAGTATTTGGAACTGTTAAAGCATTCCGGTTGTTTTTCTTTTCTGTTGAACTGTAGTTAACCCAGTATAGTTAGACAGAAAATCTGGCAGACAATGGTTCTGTTACAATTCAAATAAAACATTTTCCTATTTTGTGCATCTCCAGGTTTTTCTGCAGACCTCTTCAACTATTCACTATTAAATATATTACCATATTTAGGACATCTGTAGTATCACCGAGGGTTCTTTCTTCATTTTCATCTGAATCATTGTCTGTTAAGTTGTCCTCTGTATCACTGTTCTTCTCTTTCTTATCTCCTTTAAAACAAAATATATAATACACTTTGACTCTTTGGGGAGAAAAATAGTTTGCCCTCTTAATATAATGGGAGAAACTTTTTGTCTCAATACGCAAATGAAGAGAGACAAATACAAAAATAAAATACAATGAAACTTACTTTCATAAACTTTGATGTGGTAGTAGAAATTATTACTATCATGCAAACAATATAAATCCCTGAGATCGATATTCTCTCGCTAGCTACATTTGCTAGACTCACTCCCATCTTAACCTGGGGAATCAGGTCTCCCTGGTCTTCAAGAATGTCATAAGAATAGGGGCCCTCCAGTTCTAAGGGCCAGGGGAAGCTATGGAGAAGGAATGCTTCCAAGGTCGCACTAGATGTCAATATTTAAGGAAAGGGACTTGAAGTGCTCATTCTTTCTGACCTAATGATGCTTTGGTAGAGGTTGTCCTACAAAGAATCTGACACATTAGTTCATAAGTCAGTTCTGTTTTATTTGACAACTTTTCTTGCCACAGCTATTAAATGAATTAGTGCAGTTGTTAAATTAGTAATACAATTGTTAAGTGAATTGGGTTTCTTCATTGTCTTTGCTTGTCAGAGGGGCACAGAACATGATCACATGACTATGGGACATTGCAACTATCATAAATACATGCCATTTCAAAGCATCTTAAGTTTGGATCACGTGATCATGGGGAAGCTGCAATGGTCATAAGCAGGGGTGGGATTCAATCGGTTCAGCCCTGTTCAGGTGAACTGGATGTTAAATTTATATCTGGCTCACCGAACCGGTAGTTGAACCAACCAGCTGACCTCTCCCGCCCCTCCCAGGAATCCCCATGCAGCCCATTTTGGATGCAGGTAAGTGCAGGTTCTGCATGGAGGCTCTGGAGGGCAAAAAATGGGCCGAACTGGAAGTTCTGGAAGTCCAGAAATGGGCCTGTTTCCGGCTTTTGGAGGCCCCCCGGAGCCCAGAGGAGGCCACTTTCACCCTCCCAGAGGCCCAAGGGAAGCCTCCAGACTCTGGGAAAGGTGAAAAATGGCCCTCCCGAAAGTTCTGATAGGCCACACCCACCATGGCCACACCCACCCAGCAACCGAGCAGAGAACCGGTTGGTGGGATTTTTGAATCCCACCCCTGCCTCATAAGTGTGAAAAACAGTCATAAATCATTTTTTTCAGGGCTGTTGTAATTTTGAACGAAAGGTTGTAAGCCAAGGAGTACATGTAAATAAAATATAGTTTACCTGTTTCATGATCCATAATAGATTCAGATTCTTTATTACTATCAGTTCTGCCAAGCGGAAGAGTACTGCTGATGTCACTTGATGCAAGTTTTAAGGAAGTTTTCCCCAATGGGGGAAGTGTTCGCACCAATCGACTGCATTGTTCTGGCGATTTTTCCTTCTGAAAGAGTTAGAAGAAACCAAATCAGCATTTACATTAGATTTTTAAAGAATAATATACAGAATATATTAAATTAAAGATACTATCCACATTTCAGATTTTGGAACAGGCTCTGTGAATCAAAACTATTTAATTCCCTTAGAATTTTGGTTGAAAATTTTAAATTATCTGAGCCAGAGTTAATTTACTTAATTAAACCTTAACTTAACAAGTTCATAGTACGCTGGAGTACAAATTCAAACTTATAAATTAGAAATAATGTAACCTTTATTTATTTAGAGAAAGACAAAAAGAAAATCATTTGAAAGTCATTTATTTACTTTTATATTGCCCAGGACTGCCCTATCAGAGAGATGGGTAGCATATAAATTTAATAAACAAATAAATATCCCACTTCTTTTCATTAATTTCAATTATAGTTTCCTATCTCATATTTTATATACATTCCTTGAAAGTATTACAGACTTATTCTTTCCTCCAATTCCAAAAATTACAATAAAAAATTCATCATGAAGATAAAACATTTCAAGAAAAAAGTTCCAAAAATTAAAGAAATCTCTTAAACTTTTAAATCTTTTTCAAACAGAATTTTTAATAGGCAGCTTGGAACAGTTATAGTGTACCTTCTCTCTCCGTCGCACACGTGCTGAAAATGTTTGCTGAAAGGTGTCTGCATCTCCTCCCATTTCAGTGACTTTAACTGATAAACTGTGCTCATTTTCTTCTAGCTCATGAATGTTATCAGATTTTTTAGGCCTTGGGGTGGCAAAAACCAGCATATGACAGCCACCACAAGCAGCCTATAATATGAACATAGTAGACTGTATTATTAGAAGTGGTACATGCAGGTAGATAACCCTGAACAGAAAATATTTTCCTAAGTTTAGATTATTATTAAATAATAATCTAATAATTCAGACTTTTTAATATCTCAAAAACACATAATGCAAAATTACCAAAAATATTTTTTCTGGCTACAGGAAATAACAAGTCTAAAGATAGTACCTGAACCTGCAATATTTTTATTAGGGATAACCAAAGGAAAGAGAATACGAAAGAGAATGAATGCCTAATGAAACATATCTTAACAGTGGCTAGGATACTATATGCTCAAATTTGGAAATTAGATAGTACACCCACAGACAATATGATTATAAAAAAAGTAATGGACTGTACAGAAATGAACAAATTCACAATGGAATTGCGGGAGAGGGAGGATAAAGAATTCTATATGGTCTGGGAAAAATGGTATGTCTGGTTAGAAAATAGAAAGAAAATAGACTTCCAGGGTGATGTCATGATGGCTCAGACATAGGAATGGCGGCTCCACTCTGAATGTCCAATTTTTCCATATCCGGATGCCCGATGAAGCGACTGAAGACCCTGGAGAGGTCTGCGGTAGAGAGGGGAAGCTCCGAGGGTAGCAGGCGGAGGCACGATCCCGTTCCTATAAGAGAACCCCTTGAAAACGGCATGGAAGAGACCAGCTCTATGGTCGGATCTGGAGGCGTGACAGCCCAAGAAATGGTGAAGGAAATAAAGAGTGAGGCAACAGAGGCAAACAGTGAGAATTGACGGAGAGAGAAACCTAATCCTCAGAGATTAAACGACCTGAAGAGAGCGGCTGACAAATGAGTTTCCGGTGAGGGGAATTTGGTTATCTTGTGGTGGGAGTGGAAGATTGACGACCAATCACAGTGAATGTCTGCCAGAGTGAGAGAAGTGACTAGAGACTAAACTTGAGCTTGGAATTACTTTAAAACTACCTAAGATAGACAATTTGATTATTGGACTGACTAATTTGAGGAGACTGGCGAGGCCTGTTTAAACAGATCGAAAGGAGAAGATTTATAAAGAGAATGGACAAGAAGTGCTAAAGGAGAGGTAAAGAAATTCGGCTGGTATAGTGACTGTGCAGTAACTGTATATATTAGAAGGTAGAGGACAGTTTGTAACGAGAAGAGCTGATAGTAAAAGTATAACGAACATTAAGTGCTTCAAATTTTTCTAAGGACATTTGGGCTTCTCAAATTAAAAGAATAAATATAAAAACTTTGAAAAGAAAGAATAATTGTGTAAGATCTGACTATACAACTACAGGGTAAAAAGAAATAAGAGGTATTGTAAAATTGATATTTACAATGTATGATATATATTGATTGATAAATTGATAATTATTTTTTGCTTTATCTTTTTTCTATATGAATTTATAACCTTATATTATTGAATTAATTAGATTAATTACAATAAGATTGGGAACAAGGTTATTACCTATTATCGGAAACTGTGCTGATATTATTATTTATTATAATTCCATAAAGTTTATAAATTATATTATATTTACTTATAGATATTAATTACTAATTAACTGGTATTCTCTATATTTATTCATTACAAACCACAAATTATTTATACATACATACATACATACATACTATATATATATATATATATATATATATATATATATATATATATACACACACACAC